TGTTTCCCTTTATACCCCTTCGGTGATTGCGATTTCTGTGATAAGATTATAGTGTTATGTTGTTGGCATTCTATCGCCATCATTATTATCTCTAACACTACTGATAAACCCATTCCAGTTTGTTTTAATTTGTTTAATAGCAGTAGTCCTTATATTTTTTGTCATGGGAGGCTGGTTAGGTGTACTATAATCGATTGTATTCTTGCTTGGTCCTTCTCATTCATCTTCCTTCTTCAATTCTCCATTTGTCTATCCGAATGCTTAATGTTTAATTTGTTGATTCATCACCACCATCAAACCGTTTTGCTTGTCAATCAGTAAGCAGAAAAAAATTCGCTGATGACATTTTTTTGCTGTCTTTCACCGTCTCACATCTTCGCTAATGCTAACTATTTGACTTCCATTTTTACTAGTGTTATGTTTCACAATTTTCATTATCAGTTTGAATTCGTTAAATTCACTGAGAAATTCGCATGGGCGATGACGCATCCTTGCTGCTTCGAGACGGTCACTCAATTGTTAATCCCCTCATCTGAGAAGTAATGTATGACAAAAATTTATAGGTGAAGGGAAAAGTTTCTGATACAGTCTTCTAAATTTTGGGAAAGAGGAAGAAATTGATTTATTTTGCAAAAGAGGTGATCATCATGTTTTGATACGAGTAATACAGTTCGTAATCTAGAATTTAGCTTGTTATTTTTTCTAAAAGGTTTTCAAGATATTTTTTGTCTTTTTGTGAATTAAGTGGATTTTGTCTGTTTTTTAGTGGTGAATAAACCACTGAATTTAGCACTTGAGTTCCTTAAATTAATTTATTTCTATTCAGAATCTCTGAACTTCGATCACGAAACTGTTAGTTTTTTCACTGCATGATCGACATTTTTTTCAGTTTTTCATCCTCATCAGTATAAATCGGCCAATTGAAAGCATACCACGAAAAAACTGTTGAAATTTACTCAAAAACAGACATCTCCTAGAAGTTCAAATATCAACATACTGCACGTATCTGATAATTAACATTCATTGTCATTACCGTTTCGTTGCGACTTCTCCTGAAACTATACTTTTTTTCCCTCCTGAGTCTGCCAATTTACATCACTTCTTCAGTACATTAAATCCGAAATTTTTTTTTGAATAAAAAAAACATTACTGAGAATTTTTGAGGGATATCTGAAAGGTCAAAAGTTTGGTACTTTTAAGATTACAACATATATTTTAAGATTATTTCTGGAATTTACTTTATACATATCAGTAAATTTGATGAGAAGAAAAGACCGGAAAAATATTTCAGTTTTGTATTTCTACTGGCGAAATTTCTTCGAATATCAAATTGCTCTGTGAGTTTTACAAATCGGTGGGTTCTTTCATCAACATTGTTCTGATGACTTAGAGTCTAAGTTGCAGATACTGTGTACAGATATCCCAAGTCGGATTAAATCATACGAGTTATCCCAGAGCTTTGTCCGAAGTTCTGACAAGTTTGCTGCGGTTAATTTTACTGTCTGTAAGAATTCAGTGTTCATAAAATTATTCAGTGAACTTTAGGAAGATAGAAAGATAAATTCAAGTTTGTGTTAATCCTTTATAGCGTTTTCTCCTCTCATTTGCAAGCACTATTAATCCTTAAATTTTTTAATTCAGATTTCAAGTGTTTTATTTCGTATTATTTTTAATGTGTTCCACTTTACTTTAATTTCAAATCATCCATTGATAAATGACCTGTGGAAATTAACTTTAATGTTTGGTGTAATTTCTGTTAGATATCCTTACCAACTAGTGGGCCTTTGAATGAAATGTCAAACAGTGTATTGATTTACTATTTGAATAATATCAATGATAATGGAAAAGTGTAGATAAGTTTTTTATCTAAAAGTACTTTGGTAGGCAGGAACAAATGAACAGTTATGGGTTTTTGTTACATTACGTATATACGTATAGGTATGTTAGCTAAAACATTATCCTAGTTCGCTAACCCCCTCCTCCTCCTCCTTCTCTCGTAACGATGCCCTATCATGCTTCGTTCGATTAGCTTGACTGTATTATAAAAGAAGGAATGTGACTATATAGTGACAATTTGAAGAGGACAGAGTGCCATTTGCAAAACTTGTTTTCCAGTTTTTGTTTGTATTACGAGCGTCGCGTATCTTAGATCGCCTCAACCACAGTGAAGGGCATCGAGTGGTGAGAAGGGTTATTTCTTATTTCCCTCCAATATTGGGATATACAATATTTGCATAATTATCCTATATAACTTACTGCAATTAGTGTTATTACTGTCAAGTTCTATCAGTGATATGAGGAACACTACCATCGGTCTTTTCTTTCTTCATAGTAATGCGCATAGTAAATAGTATTATATTGTCCATTCTATGTTTAAAGGTCGATGTTAAAATACACCGCTGTACGAAGAAATGATCGATTTGCGAAGTCTAATTCTGGTAAATATTTTGAGAGCCGCGAAACCTTCTCACACCTCAAGTCTTTCTTTGTTGCATTATTTCATTCCACTTCTCAGAAACCTTCCTAATTTTTCAAATACACGAATAAATGATCGTAGGATTGGATTAAACTATCCCTGTATTATATTTTTACATTTTTTCAAATATTTTTTAAAAATTTGTTGGAAATTAAAACTGTTTCAAAAAGTCTTGACCGAAATTGCCGAGTATCTGAAGTTTTTGAATTCATTTAATACTTTTTCTTCTTGAATTAAACGAGAAAATAGGTAAATTTAATATAGTAAGCGAATAAGGCTTTCGAACGATTGCTGGAAAATTCTTCTAGCATTAAATTCTTTTTAGTATTTGTATTGATAAACTTGAATTAATGAGCCTTCTTTCAATGAGTTTATGCATATGACCATCTTGGAAAACGTGTTTACTACGATTTCGTCACTTCGTTTCACCTTTAAACCTTCCATTACAATATTTTCTTGCCTCCTCATTTTTCACTTACCTTCATCTTTAAATCTTCCATGAAATCCAGGTGAATAAAAGTTAGGTTTAGATCTCGGTAATACTGAGACGTCCAAAAAGTTATCCGTCACTTTTTGATCTAAACTGCTGACATTCAGATGTTTCTTTAAATTTATATTATCCCATGAGTAGAATGTGAAGGATATCACTATCATTCGGAGAAAGAAGAATGCAGGGAATAGGTTAGGAGGTTTAGGTAGAACTTGTCTATTGAATTGTTTACCTGTTTTTACGCAACAATTATAAATCGATTTGTAATCTGATGTGCACTTATGTCATGTTGTTATTTTATGCCGAAATTTGAGTTCTATTGGCCCATTTAAAATAGTTTTCTCTTTTTGCGATATTTAGGATATTTTGCTTAATATGAATTAAATATTCTACTTAATCTGGGATTAAAACCAGACCATTCTGAAATTTCCGCTGACCATGATACTAAAGCTTCTGGGGTCAAATATTTTCATCTGTGTGGTTTTTTTGCGAATCAAATAATTGTCTTAACTTGTTTCACGGAATTGCAGTACTAAGTTTATGCATGATACGAACGATTCTCATCTAATCGATGTGTAAATAAGAAGCTATCTCAACAGGAAGTACTTTGGAATGAATACAACTAATGTTGAAATATTACAGGTAATAACGGATTGCCTTCTAAATTCAGAAGGAATAGTATGAATAATCTGGATAGATTAGAAGTGCGTTGGTTCAGATTTATCATTAGTAGAGATATCGCTTCACAATTCATTTCCTTGTGTTGCTCATATCTCTCTGTTCTAAGGAATGCTTTACTTCTTCAGCGTATGGAAAATTTGAATGAGGAAATGAAAAGACAAATATTTATGGAAGAAAATCATGAGCTATGTTTGTGGATGAATACGTTGATGATATGTTGCCAAGTTTCATCAGTAATATTGGCCACTATTTGATTAGTGATATTGCTCAAATAGTAGTCAACATTGCTGATGAGACGATCAACTTCATTTCACGTTTCGCTTTGAGAGAATCATATTTGCAGAATCGGGTATCCTACCCTATATACAGCAATGAAGTCACCAATAAAAAATTCAGGCTATTCAACCATCATTACATTGATATTAGAGGTTCTCAGGTATTGGAATGCAAGTAATCGAACAGTTAAGCCAAGTGAATTACTGACTCATTTTGAACTTTAAATTTAAAATCATACAATAAACTGGCAAAACAAACATCTTAAAAACGAAAATTTTGGCGTGCAGATTTGCAGGGTGCAAGTATGCGTACTTTACAGGTCAGAAAGATTGAAAAATTATGGATTTGGTTTTGAAGGAGGCGAAATGCTGGAATTTGCATATATATTCGATCGATCGAATGTCATTCGGTCGATCGAATCTGTAAGAGAGGAGCAAGTAGACAAAAAGACTGAGTCACGGAAATTCTCTCAATGATTTTTTTTTCTTCTGAATGAAATCAATAATTTGTTCTTTCATCGAAGATGAATAACACACCATTAAGTTAATGAGTGTTAACTTATTTTCGTTAATCCACGTGCAGACTTTGACTTTCTGAATCTCTCTACTATGACTAGAAGTATAGTTTCCATGCAAAAAGTGTTGCGGTATATATGGTGACAAACTCACAAAATCCATAGCGAGTATACATTTATTCTGTCTAACACTTAACTTGTCTTTTTCTTTGGACAATAAAAAGACTTAAATAGAAGGAAATTAATTTAATCATTTAAGATTTGAGGAGCGAAAATAGAATTACTTCGTGATTAAGTGCTTATTTTATTTTATACAATGAATAAAAATATGCAGCCGCCTTTCACATTGATTTTAGAACTATATTAACATCGAGGGGATGACACCGGCAATATTTGGTAATATTTTCTTTGGTTCGGGTGGAATTACTAGTTATATTTCTTGAGATATCTGTTATTACTCAGGGTAGGTAATTTTACTGAAGGAATTTGTGAAGTACATTTTGAAGTTATTTCCACCACATTTTGATCTGCATGGATGAATCCCAAAAATTTTCAATTTGCAGAAAGCTCTCAAAGAGCGTACTTCAGAATGCGATTCGCTGAAAAAGAAGGTGGAAAAATTCGAGAGAGACCGGTAAATAATTATTTACTTCCCTTTCAGTATGTAAATTCAACCCGTAGATTTTCTCAACTTAGCTGGTATTTTAATTGGCAAAATCACAAAAGCTATCACTCTTTTTTCAATTGCATTGATGGTATTTGTATCTATTAAAATTGAGAAGACAGTGTTGTAAAAAAGTTACTGTAAAGATTTCTGGTCCATTTTTCGAAAAAAACCTAAATTTCTCATTCAATTACTTCATTCCTGGACTCATATATTGTGTCCACTCCTTTTGTCCTAGTCTCCCATCTCCTTCTCATAAAGTTGTTACCATTTACTTCTCACCAAATTGAAGTACTAATATTCCCAACTGAGCCTGAGAGGTCACTAGTCGTAACTTTCAGTTGTTGTTTGTTAAAAAAGATTAAGCTTACTTAAGCTTACCATACGTTTTTCGGATTCATCATGTAATCGAAAAGATGAATCAGATATCTTATGTGGGCTTATCAAGCTAATTCCTGTGGATTTGGACTTTCCGAGAAGTCACTTCGAATTCAAAGGTCGAGGCAGTCAGTAGTCTAAGTGACAAACTGAGGACAAAGTTCTAGCGACTTAAGCGGAAGTTTGTGTATTTATAGCTATGAGAAGTACGAGAAAAAAAAAGGATTTTTGGAATCAGGCTGTTTTCAAACAAAAATGAGTTTCAATATTTCAGGCAGCAATGGGAAAATCAGAAGCGGGTATTGGAAGCAAAGCAACCAATGGATGTCCAGATGCTGCAAGGCCAAAAACGGGAACTAACTATGCAACTGGATCGAGAACAGGCCGAAAAACAAGAGCTTTTCTTGCAGGTATTATTTTCTTTAGTTTTTTTTTTCTCGATACTTCCTTTTTCTCGGAGTAAGTTTGCTTGCACTTAGACGAAAAAAGTATCCTCCGGCGATGCATTACTCATCTCATCCTTCCATCCATAACTGGTGACCTCTCAGGAAGAAATTAGTAGTCCACTTTCAGAGTATTATAGATTATTGGACAATGTTTTCAAGTGTGCAGTAATTTCAAGGTCATATCAGAACATATAGTTTGAAAGGAAAGATGAGAAACTAAATGAAATGGAAGAAACAAGTCAGTGCAAGGTCAATTATAATCGCAAACTTCATTATTTTTAATTTTAGATTAATAGCTTAATAGCACAGTTAGCAGATGCAAATAGAGATAACACAGACCATCAGGAATGTAATTTGTTGAAAGATGAGAATGAAAAATTAAAGAAACAGATCACCGATATTCTGGTTAGTTTTGATTTCATGCTTTGCAGTTTGTTTTTCCAATAAAGTTAAATAAACGCCTCAGTTTTCACAAAATAATGAGGTTGGTAGGAAAATATATTTTAATCGAAAACGACGTTAGTATTTTTTCTGCCACTGAATTATTCAGAAACGATCATTCAAACAATTTGTAGCATTTTCTGTGCAATATTATTATTGCAGTATGCAAGATCTCTCAGCCCAATATCACTGAGACTTTCAGGCCATTCAATCGCAACTTAATACAGACGTGCATAATTTGCAAGAAGAAGTGCGATGCAAGAATCAGGAAGTAGAAAATGCTCAAGATGAATCAAAAAGACTTCGTTTGATTATGAACAACGAGAAGATCCAACTAGAAAATAGTATTGAGGAATTGCAGCGCGATTTACAGATGAAATCAGCTGCATTGCAAAGCTTAATGCTTGCTAAACAGGTGGTCAACATCCTGTTATTCATAATCTTTGTTTCATATACTTGATTTCGTTCTTTTTTGATTTTTATCACTAATGTAATATTTCTAGGATATCAAAACGAATGAAGCAGACTCAGCAATGATAATTCGATTAACAGTGGAAAATGAAGAACTGCGAGGTCAGATTGAGGAAATCAGGAATGAGGTCAAGGGACGCGTTTCCGATATTGAGGAGGTGAAATTAGAAAATGAGAAAGTAAGCACTGCTTTACGAACACTGAAATTTCTATAATGGAGTAATAGATCACTTTTGTCGAATAGTACTAGCTGTTAAGGAACTGTATCAGCTCTCCTGAAAATCGAATCTCATCCGAAACGTAATTCTTTGAGTTTATATGGCGTACTGTAATATGTCTAAATCTAGCTTAATTAATCACGGATTTTTTTATCTCCATAGAAATATGAGGAAAATTACCGAGTAGGGCAATACAGTACTATTTTTCAGCGACAAAATTCGAGTTTTTTAAGGTATTTGTAAAAATACAGAAAAATTCTTTTGTTGCTTTTCTTTTAAAAATTCTTCGGTATTTCTTTTTCATTTGATTTAGAAACTCAAAAATCTTCAAATCGAGTTGGATTCCATGCGGGAAAATGCAAAAGAGAAGGAAGCGGAATTGTTCAAACAGAGTGATGTAAATTTATTGGTTTCTCTTAAACTTCACATTTCGTCATCTTAGTTTTACAAGATTGATATTAATTTTGCTGTTAAAGCATTTTTAGTCTGAAAACTGTCATGTTCTTTTAGAGGTCAAAATTATATTGACATTTCCTAAAATTTAGGAAATTGGAAAGTTGCAAAGTGAATTGAATTCCGCACTAGAAAATATGCAAAAGGGAGAAGCTGAATTATCGTTCATGCGAAACAATGTAAGCAAGCTTCAATCTGTAGTCTGATTTCTCCATCTGTAGAATTGTAAAGTTTGTTAATTTTTACAGTTTAATTCAAGTTCATGGAGTGCTATGGTTTTGTTAACATAGACTACAATGAAAGTTCGTTTTGTAAGACCTGTTTTCAAGATGCTTCGGAAAATTTCATGAAATTAGTAACATTATGAAATAAAGAAATGTACCCTCCTATGTTTTATCAACATTTGTTAAAATGGATCATTTCAGGAAGTACACGAAGTGTCGCAGCTTCGAGAGGCTTTGGAGAAATATAAATTAGACGCGGGAAAAATAAGTGAACGATTGGAGGAAAGCCAGAGAAATTTAGCAGAATGTGAGGAAAAGTATGTTCTGATTATTTTAATGATAAATTCATTTGCTATCAGATACTGCTTATAACGCCGACAAAATCCTTTCATATACTTGATACTCTCAAAAACTGTTTCCTCAGGCCATCGATCATTTCCTTTGAAGAAGGTTGATACGTGTTAGATTGTTTTCTAATGTAAAATTAAGAATTGATGCGGCTATTGTAAGCCTATGATTCAGTAAGGTACCTACAAATGAAGTAGAAAAAATGAAAGGGACAAGATGTAGAAAAGGCAAGGAAAGAATGATTACTTTTATATGTACTGGTTTCTCACATTCGAGTCTTAAATCTGAAATAGGAATTGAAAGTTGATGAATAAATCCTGTCAAGCTATTTCTCAAGTGCCATTATTATCACTACCGTTAGCTTACATTTCCCAAAACGTTGTCACTCTTGATAAATCCGAAGATGGTTACTTAGTATATGAATGTCTTAATCAATTCTAATAGGATATAATCATGGTAATAATGATGATGACAAGACCAATAGCACCACTCCGTATTTTTCTTTTAAACTATAAAAATTGTCGTAATTGTCATACTGCTGATAGAATATGATAATTCTCAATTTTTCTTGTTATCAGCATATTTTTACGTTAATCTCACTGTTTCTGCGCAATAACATCAGTGTAAAGTGTAGGTTGTGTCTGGCAAATTAAAGTGAAATTTTCTAAATGAATGGTATCATTCTTCTACGTTCTTGTTTATGGCACACTTACTGTATTATCTTCTTAATCAAGGTGTGATGCTTTGAAAAAGGACGCCGAAGCAAAACTTATGCGGGAAAGCAATTCTTTGGCGGATGTTAGAAAGAAATATGACGAAGAAATAAGACAACAAGAAACGAAATTTAATGTTGGTTCTTTGTATTTTTTTTTATGAATGAATTTTATTGTGTGCAAGTATCATTGTACTCAATACACTATTTAGAAGTGGAATTAGTGAACTTTTAATTTAACACATTTAAGCTACTCTTCCCGCATAAATACTGTTGATTCCCTACACAGTGGGTGTGCAAGAACTTGTATTTTTATATTTTTCGAATAATGAGGCAAGTTTTCATTGAAACTTCATTCCCTGAGTAAAAGCAACTAATTTTCTAATTGACTCACCATAAAGGTGTATTTGCCAAACAGTAAATAATGCACAAATTATTGAAATAGTAATAAGGGTATTTCAAGCGAAAGTAAGCAAGTCCTTTGTGTTTTGTTTTAGAATCTGAAGCAGAGTTTAAAAGTGGAGGAAATGCGAACACAAGAAGCAGAACAAGAAGCAAAAAGTTGTCGGTTAAAAATCACTGATCTAGAAGAGGAATTAAAAGTTTTGAGGATACAAACTGATAAACAGCGTGGTGTTGATGAACAGGTAATATTTGAAAATAAATTAGTTCTGTAGACCTATTTCGATTGTATCGCAATGAGAAGTTCCGTTAAGTTCAGCTTTACCTTTTCCAGACTTTTTTTTTGCTGCAATTTCTCGAATAGTTCAGTCCGGTTCAAAATTTTCACATTTCCGATTCAAATTAGGCAATACATTCATAATATTAATAACAATCGTGGTAAGTTTAACTTGCAAGTGGAAACCACAGAATGATGTGAAGGTAAAAA